ATGTGCTGTTCTTGCAGACTGGGGAAGTCCGTGGAATGCCTGCATTTCTCCTCTCAGCTAGCCAACTGTCATTCTCATTTATACAAGCCACCTTCTATGAGCTCACTGGGTGTAAGCTGGATATCCAGAGATTAAATATAGTCTAGGAATGTTGATCAAATAAGAGAACCTCTCTTAACTATTTGCTCATTCATGGAATTTGACCCCTTGTTCACAGCCTTCCTCTTTATTTCAGACTCTGCCATCCTCATGGGTGATTTCAACATCCGTATAGATATCCTGTCCAGCATTCTGGCTTCTTTGTTCTTTGACATGCAAATGTTCCATTCGTTTTTCCTTTACTCCACTTCACCCACCTGCTCCTATGGCCAGTTCCTAGACGCCCCCGCCCCCACCTGAGACTCTTTTACGTTCCAAATCATCAACTCGTATTTCTTCTTCTCTGACCACAATCTCTTTCCAGCTGGCTCATTCACTGCTCTTGTGTCAACGGCTTCCTAAGTTTCTCTAAGGAACCAGAGCTATTTAGAGTTTGCTCCCAAATTTTTGCAGCCAGTTTTTAAAGATGTTTTCTCATTTGTCTTTCTTTCTTTTTTTTTTTTTTTAATCAGGATAACATAACATAACATAACATTTACCATCTTGACCATTTTAAAGGGTGCGATTCAGTGGCTTTAGGTACGTTCACACCTTTGCACAACGGTCTACCTCCAAAACTCTTTTCATCTTGCAAAAACTGAATCTCTGGACCTATTAAACACGAACTCCCAGTTCCCTTGACCTCTCCCCACCCCCTCTCCCCAGCCCCTGGCAGTCACTAGCTCACTTTCTGTCTGTTTGAGTTTGACTACTCGAGGTGCTTCCTAGATCATACAGGAGTTCCCTTTACGGGACTGGCTTATTTCAGTTAGCATAATGTCCTATCCGTGTTCATCCCTGAGTCTATCCAAGGTTCTTCCATGTTGTAACGCGGGTCAGAATTTCCTCCCCTTTTAAGGCTGAATAATACCCTATGGTAGGGGATAGACCATGACTTGTTTATCCGCTCATCTGTGGGTGGACACTTATGTTGCTTCCACTCTTTGCCTATTGTGAATGATGCTGTTACAAACATAGGTATACTCATTTATCTTTCTTGTTGCTGTGAATCTCCAGAAGGTTATATAATGTACTCATTTATGAACCAAATGAGTATGAACGTAATTCCTCAAACATTTGCCATCCTCAAACATTGCCTTTCCTGAAAATGTAGCGATAATTCAGATCTCCCTTGTGATGGTGCTGTTTGACCAACCCATCTTATACTTGCAAAATGCAGTTCACTGACTGGCTATGCCATCAATGGTTATGAATACGCCATTAAAGCTGGCTACCTACCATATATTTATTAAACATGGAAGGTACGTGAGGCACCTCCTTGAGAGAGTTCAGACCAATAACATGGCTGTCAAATATAGCTTTTCAGTGGACTTCTAGTTAATTGCATGGTCAGCTCTCCTCTCCTTTGGGTACGTGGGAGGATTTTACTTCCCTACTCTCACTGCAGTTATGAGAGGCCATGGGACGAGTTCTGGCAAATTGGTCACATCAAGGGTGTGTGCATCTCTCCTAGGCTGAAGCAATGTAGGTTTACTTCTGGGCCAAAACTTTCTTCTTCTGCTGCATCCAGTAAGGAGGCCACTTGTGCCAGACGGTACAGCTATAGGATGGTGGGACCGCTAACAAATGATCACTGAGTAGCCATATGGAAAGGCATTTGCCCTGGACGGTTGCCCAGAACCTCAACAGACATTTTGTAAGCAAGAAATAAACAACTGAGATTTGTAGGACTATTTGCTTCTGTAATATAACCCAGGCTGTCCTGCCTAATATGATAGTGGACCATTTAAGCAAATTGTGGGTTGGTATACATCCATTTTTTTATCATGCAATTAAAAAAAATGAGGCTAGTATGTGTTAATACAGAAAGATCTTCCAAATATATTAATTTCAAAAACTAACATACAACAAAATATATATGGAGTATACATTTATTCTATAAAATAGAGTATATATTATGTTATGTACATAAAATACAAATAAACACTTACCTAGGTGTTGAAAAATCTGTCCAGAGATACAAAAAACTGGAAACGGAGCTTGCCTTTTGGGAAGAGAGACAGGTGTGGGAGAGATAGTTTTCACTGCTTGAATACTTTTTCATATTTAGTATTTAATAATATTTTAAAATAATGAATGTGCATGGATTACCTGGTCATAAATAAATAAACATTAAAAATAGTAATGAAAGGGGGCGCCTGGGTGGCTCAGTCGGTTGAGCATCCGACTTCAGCTCAGGTCATGAGCTCGCGGTCCGTGAGTTCGAGCCCCGCGTCAGGCTCTGGGCTGATGGCTCAGAGCCTGGAGCCTGCTTCCGATTCTGTGTCTCCCTCTCTCTCTGTCCCTCCCCCATTCATGCTCTGTCTCTCTCTGTCCCAAAAATAAATAAACGTTAAAAAAAAATTAAAAAAAAATAGTAATGAAAGTCTCAATCAATCCATTGGTTAGGGAAGCAGGAAAAAAAGAATAAACTTAAGAAATCATGCAGTAATCAGTATGACAAGTCTTGATAGCTAGTAAATACTGGAAATACAGGGAGGAAAGAAGTCAGAGATAACCATAGCATAAATTCCATGATGGCAAGAATTGGGGTCTCTTTTGTTTACTGATAGGAAACGGTGAGGTATGGACTCACTGACTATATAAGGTATCGATTATGGCTATGTTGAAAAAAAGTTTTTGTCCTTTGCCATTTATGTCAGGTTTAGAAGTTGGTAATGTCTTTCCTTATTCGTGTAATGAAATTTCAATAAACGGTTCCTTTATTTTTATTTTGGCCTACTCGCTACTGTCAACTGCAGGTTGAAAACGTTCAATGAAAACGTGTTAACAAAATATAAAACCACATCACGGAAATACAGAATTATACATAATGCATTTGAAGTTATCAAACGTTAAGTTGTTGGGACTTAAAGGTCTTTATGAACCCATGGCCAACTAGAAAAACATAAGCCACTTTAGAATTCAGAAATCACTGTATAGAAAATAACTTTGGCTTTAAGTTATGGTACCATTTGTATGAAGTTATTCCTGATTTTTAAAATTTTATTTTTTGGGGCGCCTGGGTGGCTCAGTCAGTTAAGCGTCCGACTTCGGCTCAGGTCACGATCTCACGGTCCATGAGTTCGAGCCCCGCGTCGGGCTCTGGGCTGATGGCTCAGAGCCTGGAGCCTGCTTCCGATTCTGTGTCTCCCTCTCTCTCTGCCCCTCCCCCGTTCATGCTCTGTCTCTCTCTGTCTCAAAAATAAATAAATGTTTAAAAAAAATTTTTTTTAAATTTTCTTTTTAAATAATCTCTGCACCCATCATGGGGCTTGAACACACACAACCTTGAGGTCAAGAATTGCACATTCTGCCAACTGAGCCAGCCAAGTGTGTCTCTTCCTGAATTTTATTTAAACGGTGTTATTTAGAACCTTCCAAACGACAGCACCAATTTCTTTCAAGTTACTCCATATCTTCCCTACCAAGTCTAAGTTTGGGATCCTTTCTTCTCTCTTGTGAGCCGTTGGAATTTTGTATTGATAACGCGATAAACAGGATTGCCCATAAGAACCACTGTCCTTGCTCTTGAGAATTTTGAAGCTATTTCAGCCATGTAAAGGCAGTGGAGTCATATGTCACAGAACAGTTTCTAATCTCTCAAATGTGTCAGAGGAAGACAAATCGTCTGTTGTGGAGGGAACCCCCTTATGTGTTAGCAGCTCAGTTCCATCTTCAAATACAGGAGGAAGAAATGCTGAGAATCCTCATGTTACTTGAGGAGGCAGAGGGGATCACCTTTCTTCTTCACAGGCACAGGTAGCCCAGTGACCCAGAAAGGGATATGGGAGGCATCCCCCAGTGGCAGAGCTCGCCTCCCAGTGACAGTGCTGTGGGCACGTCCGCAGGTGTAAGCGGACCTAACTCCACAGTCCACTAGGCTTGGTGCTCAGTGATGCCTGGGCTGAAATCGAGACACTTTACCATGCTAATAAGCTGCTGCCTGAAACTCAGCTTCCCCACCCTGGCCCAGAAGATTGCTGACCAGGCACCTGGTCTCACATGGCCTCAACTTTTTCTGGGCTGTTCCCATGCCACACAGCTACTTGGGCGTCCCGTGTGAACTCTATGCAGAAAGCTTTCCCCCTGACCTTTCTACCTTCAGATTTATTTCTGCTTTCCCAACATCTGACTTCATTCATCACTTTTTCTTTGTCGTTGGTATCCCTCCTCCATCATGATGTATACTCACCTCCTTGATGCTGCTACTACCAGCCGCTTAAGGGAAATATCTTACCTTGCCCTGCTCAGTCTCCTTCTCTCAGGCTTCTGGAGGCAACAACTTGCACAGTACCCTCAGCCCTCCAGTGGAATCTAGACAAATGCTCAGGAGATTTCTGGATACTGAATTCAAGAACTCCCATAACTGGTCACCTCTGGTATCTAAAGGAAATACGATAGTCAACTTCTCACTGCATTTGTTAGAGTACGATGTTCTGCTCCCCCAAAGTTAAATTTCATTTCAATAAATTGCAGGAAGTTGTCAAAATTCTTTTGCAACACAGAAATTGTGTTGTCTTGAAACCAGGTTGTGCTAAATGTAAATTGCTTTCACGGAATCAGATTTTTATTTATTTATTTTAATTTTTTTTTAATGTTCATTTTTGAGATGGAGAGCGAGACAGAGCATAAGCAGGGGAGGGACAGAGAGACAAGGAGACACAGAATCTGAAGCAGGCTCCAGAGGCTCTGAGCTGTCAGCACAGAGTACGACGAGGGGCTTAAACCCACAAACCGCGAGATCACGACTTGAGCTGAATTCGGACTTTTAACCAACTGAGCCAGCCAGGCGCCCGTTTTTTGTTTGTTTTTTTTAAGTTTATGTATTCTACAAGAGAAAGAGAGAGGGCGTGTGGGTGCGAGAGGGGGAGGGGAAGAGAAAGAGAGAGGGACACAGAGGATCCAAAGCGGGCTCTGCAGCAGCCTGTGCTTAGGTTCTATCGAGTCTCAGGGTCACCACTGTGTTAACCGGCTCATCGCAGGCACAGAATGTCTCAAGGAGTGTCCAATTTTATTACAAACATCTCATTTGCAATAGGAGGTTCATGAATGGAGTTCTCAGGACAGGTGTTCAACCCCTACCAGGAACCAAGAGCAAGCCAACAGCTGTTTCTCAAAAGGAAAAGTATTACTTGTCAAAGAGTGTGTGCTTACACTCAAACACCCTAGGGGCCTCTACGGTGGTTTGTTTATTGGAATTTTTATAGGATTTAGACAGCATTCCAATCTGCTGCGGAATTTTTGAGTCCTTCTGGATTCACTAGGTCATAAAGTGCTGCCTACTGCGAAACTTATATTTTCTAGCCTTCTCAGATCCCACGTTCCGCTCAAAATTCGCAGCCACTGGGCTTTCTTGTAAGTGAATCAAAGGAGCACACCTGTATCATATGTTACTTCCAAAACCCAATGAGGCTTGTCAAGTGTTACAACTTTTTCTTTACCGCTGTCCGATGCAAGGCGTATTAAGTTGTCTTTCATATTGACAAGGATATCCCTATGTACCTCAGACAGGTGAGAGGCCCATCGAAAGTCATTGCTACTTTCTATTACTGGGTATTCTCAGCAGGAAACGATATATTCGATGAGCGTGATGCCCTCTGAAATGATGAGACCATCAAGGACGCTATGGCCAAATTGGCATAGAGTTCAAGAGCTCCCGTACAGGATCAGTATACTAGGCTCCTGCCAAGTGATAATAACCTTCTGAGCTTATTTATTGAAATAGCATTGGTGAGATCAATAGGCGTAAACCAAAAACTGTTTTTATTTGCTCCAGTAAAGAAATGATGTCTGGATGGGCTTCTTTGATTTGAAAAACAGATTCAGTTCGTGATCATCAACTGGGTGAGAATGTTTAAGACACATCTGGGAGACTCAGGTGATTTCTGCATGGGTCAAACGAGCTACCTCTGCTTCTTTTAAGTCTTTGAGGGTAGCAGTTAACTTTGTATTTCTACCCCACCTTTCCCAGCCTCCTCCCAAAGATATGATATGGCTTTCAATTTACTTTCTGATGGGAAGAGGAAGTTCTAAGAGTTTTCCTGGGTCCTTCCTACCACAATGGGCTGGGGTGACCGTACAAAGTTATCACTAAAACCAGTGTATTTTTGATAGTGAACGGAGTACTCTTAATGGTTACGCTGGAAAAACACATTTTGGTGCCTCAAGGGTCAGGAATCCAGTGCCGGGATTTGGTCAATTGCTGAGGTTATCTGTACGGATAGTGCACTTAGGAACCAGGAAAATCATCGGATGTGATCAGGAACCTGCTGGGCCTCCACGAGCTGGATTCAGGTCGCAACTATAGTCATTACCTGATCTCTTTTAGCCTCCATTCTCACCAGTGGACCACACCAACAGTCTCCCCAAAATTAGCGTTCCCAAAAATTAGTGTTAGCTCAGAGCCAATGTCCAACAACCCCTGAGAGGACGGGGTATTTCCCTCTCCTCATTGCAAAGTCGTTCTGGTGAATGAATAGTTTCCTTTGTGGAGAGCTGGAAACAAAATCATAGAACTTACTAGCATATTACAGGGTGCTTTCTTCAAGGCATCATGCCTCCTCTCCATGCGTTAGGGATACACGTGTATGGACTCCGGTCTGAGACCTGTAGGTGAAAATCTGTGGTCATTCTGGGAGCTGAAAGCAGGCCTCTCGAGGCCCAGAGGGGGTATTGCTGTTGTTAATAGAAATCAAATAGAATCTCTGAGGGCTATTCTCTACAGGCTCTAATTATAGGCCTGGAGATTAACAGGGTCGGTGGAGGTCAGGCACAGGGACTCAGATTTCCCTTGTGTGAGAACTTCCTCAGGTAAGGCTATTACAAACGCTTCAAGCAAGATGGTTGCAGACTTATCCAAGGAGGAAAGAGACTACCCTTTGAGAAATTCTCCACCTTCCACGTATCCTCATTGCTCTCCTTATAGATCCACTCTTTTTCCACAACTGCTCTAATTGTCACACAAGAGATGGAGAAGAGCTGTGGATTCCGTGGACATGATTCAACAGCCCACCAGATCAAATTCTGAATTTTATGTCTGGCCATTTTAGTCCAGCAACTTAAAGAGATGGAAGATTGTGTGTGTGTGTGTGTGTGTGTGTGTGTGTGTGTGTTTTGTAAGCCTGGCTGTAGGAATTTGCTGTCATTCACCAACTTCAAGCCTTTGGGAACCAAATGGAGCAATTCTTTTGTCCGGTTTTCCTCAATCCTTATCCTAGGTTGAGCCTGAGATTCATTGTCCGTGCCAGGACCCTTGGAAGAGTGAAATGGGAATGTAAGGAACGATACACTAGGACAGGAAGCAGAAAGGATCCAGGAGACACTGGACGTGTCAACATTCACCTCAGGCTCTGTGTATTGTGTTATGGCATTAGCCATGGGGCTGCAGAAGGTCTTATCTTCAGTGGATATTTCATTCCAGGTGATCATATGATTAAATCTGAATGAATAGGCAGCCAGAGAAGCGTGTCTTAATACTTGCTTATAAATCCTGGCACAATAGATAACCGATCCCAGACTCTCCGCATTTCCATCGGCATCTGTTGCCAGGAGTTTCCCTGTGTTCACTCGTCTTACCAATTTCTTACCAGTTACAGTATGACTATCAACTGATACCTGACAGAAAGCGTTGCATTGCCTGGATTCCCATTAAGCACCTGTTTTACTTCAAAGGATGGTATGTTCCGGAGTGTCCAGAAGATGTGATGTGGGGTCATCTAGTTCAGTGGTATCTGATACCAACATCAGATCTACCACAAACGGCCTAACAGCTCTCATTCAGTTATATGTTTGACATCGAATTACTATCATGTATTCTAATGGACCATCGCCTAATTCGAAAATAATTAACAGGAACCATTTGCCTTCTACATAAATGAGGGCATATTACATAGTCATTTAAATGTGTGTTTTAGCCAAAGCAATATATTTGTGTAATTTGCAGGTCACTTCAGGCTCCATGACTCTATGAATGTAGAAAACTCCAGCACGGAAAAATATCTGAGTAATTACTTATCCCTCAGTGTCACGTCAGAGTTACTGTAATTAATTAAAAGGTATGTGCTTACAAAGCTTAGGGTGGTCTTGGTTTTGGTTTTTCGTGCATGCAACAGAGGTGGGCTGAAGGGAAAAGAGCTGTCAGGTTTATTCCATGCTTTGGCAGAAGGAAGTCAGTGTAGGCGTAGTTCAGGAAATCACTCTGTCACCAGTCTGGAAGATTCTGAAGAGAGATGCTTGACAAGAGGGTGAGCATGCCTGAGTAGAGGGAACCACCCTTACGGACTTTGCAGATTTCAGCGTGGGTGTGGTGCTGTTGACTTTTTCCTTTTTGACATGGGTTGCACCCCTTACCTGCCAAGTTGGATTTTAAGCCTTTCTGGCTATAGGACTCTACCATTTGCAACAAGATATATACATTTCCTATGTGGTTACAAGAAGCCTTGCTTTGGGAAAGTTGACGTGATTCATGATCCAAATGTTGCATTCTGGAAAATGAAACGATCTTTTCGTGGTTCTATTTTGAAAAGTTCTTTGGCGATTATTTAAGCGACCCGTCTTAGTACCTTTGATGTCAAATAATTGTGGTCTTCTCTTGGACGGAAGCCTTGTTACACAGTAAATGTTTCCCAGAAACTATATTTTAGAAAAGAAACTGAAGGAAAGAAATATTTAAAAGCAGATGTCTTACAACTGCTTTTGTGCTTTAGAGGCAGACACAGTTCATCTTCTGCCATGTCTGCTTTGTGTGTGTAGGAACTCTTGGATTTGGTTAGTAATGATGAAAAACAGTATTATAAAATCAAGAAAGCAACCACAGCTTGTCCCTGGAAAGTCATTTTTATTGAATTGCCCCAAAACTACTCAACTGACACGTACCAAGCAAAACTCTGTGATTTGATGTTCCTTTATCTTGAATCCAGTTTTCCCAGTTGGAAATGTGGGCTTTGGTCTTTATCTGTGAATTGCTTAATGTAGGCCTCAACTTGTTCCATTTTGTAAGAAATTACGGTGCTCCACTTCTGCAATGAATTTCCCCAGGGCTTCTTAAATGGTTTGCGCTTTAATGCATGATAGTTGAAAATTTTCCCAATTTGATCAATTCCTTTTAAATTTGAATGAGATGCTACTTTTCCTCACGTACTCGGACAATGCCATTGACTCTCGGCCAGAGGGGTGTGCATTTGGAGTAGATTTTGTAGCAGTGGTGATGTGAATCCATCGAGACCTGGATTACTCTTGGCCACTGGAGGTGCTTCTGTTAGGATACTGGTGTAGTCTTTAGCTGTAGATCAGAATGAAACCCGGAGGTTCACATGGGCCCTACTTGTAGCCTGGGTCACCTTGCCACTGTTTTCTGATCCGTAGAATTAACTGACAGCAGACAGTTATTTTCATCTCTGAAGTAGATCCAGGCTTTTGCTGTCTTGTTTTCTCTTTCCATTTCCTTAGGTTGGAAATTGCTTTATTTGCTGATATTTCCTAGCTTGGGTTGAGTTTCAAGCCAAGGACATTACTGCAAGAGGAACAAGAATAGAAAATCAATACCATATTGATTGCCAGTGAGAACGATTATGAATAACTTGAGTTTCCTCTTTGCAGGTTTGGGCTCATTGTTCTATCTTCGCCATTTACGGCTTTCTGGATTTTTACAATGAAAATGTTGCGATTGAATCAAAGGCGTGGACAAAAATGATCGTGTCTATACAAGTCTGTAAATTCTTAAATGGTATGCATTTTGAAAAAAATCTTTCATAATGGATATCAAAAGGCTTATTTTCCTCTGTAGCTTTTTCATAAGAAAAATGTCATTTTCCTGATCACATTGATAGTAAAACGGTCATGTTTAGCCTGATCAAATTTAAGCTAAAAATACTTACCTGTTCACAGTAATTTTCACTCAATTTCAGTACATAGGAAAATATATTGTTTGTATGATGATGCATTCATTTTAGATCTGGCGTTCCTTTCAAACTTTGAGTATGAAAGAGACTATTTAGCAAGCCTATGAACTTAGACATGTTTTAAATTTTAAAGAGATCCTAAAGAACTAGGTCAAGACTTAAGCAATTTTGGGCTTTGGAGAATGTATTCTTTAGCTGTGTCAGAAAGTGGGGTAGGAGGAGGTTGAGATGGAAGAATCTGCCTTCCTTAGTAGGCTCCTGAAGAAATACCGCTCTGCAGATAGAAGGCGGTTCTTTGGGGCCCTCTAAACTGCAAGGACATTGAACCCCACTTTACCTTTGGGAAGGCTAATTCCGAAAAGAACCAGAATCTTACTCTCCTCTTCAGTGCTGAATCACTGACGCTCCTTTGGTTGCAGGCAACAGAAACGACCTCAGCTCATCTAAAGAAGTCATTCACTGGAGGGAGATGGCTATTTCCAAAATCCAGGAAATACTGACGAGACAGACCTCAGGAAGGACTGAAATCAAAGCAGTGTTGGTGATCTAGGTGTCCCACTGAAGTCCAGATTCAGGAGTGAAACAGCATCGATTATTTTTCATCCCTACCATCTTTCCTTTCAGATTCAAATGCTGAGAGAAGGAGAGAGAGAGAGAGAGAGAGAGAGAGAGAGAGAGTACGATTTACCTAGGTAGGGCTCTGGACCTAGGGTGGGCAAGGCTCTTTGATGGATATATTATTATGCCTTTATTCTTGGGGGATGGGGAGGGGGTCTCAAAAGGAAGCAGGAAACTATTACCAGAAGGGCAGGGACAAACCAAGAGATATCCCCTACAGGCAGTATTTTTCTCCCTCTAACATTTTAGGACTTGTTATAATCATTGTGCCCATACCTTCATAGCCCTATATACTTGACACTGTCCTCAGCTCTTCCCTACCCTTTCCCCACTTTTTCCACCACCCAAAAAGGATTTTAAAACTCTAGTTAGCTTTGAGAGGACTAGGCATTGAGGAGTTCTTACTTTAGTTAGGCTATGCCTTATGGTTCAGTTCTAGCATAGGCTCTGCCTTGCTCTTGAGGTCCTACCTTCTTGTTTCTGAAGTTCCAGTTTCTGTTGACCATGACCTTATCTTATTTCCTGGATCTGAGTTGGACTTGAGCCCTGATTTGCTTCTTGCTAGGCTTGGGTGATTTCCTTCACTTCCAGTGGGTACCCGGTGACCTGTTCTCTTCCAGAAAACTCCTCTGGAGCTCTCTGATTGCTTCTAGATTTCCCAGCATAGTGTTTCTCCCATCAGAACACTTTTGATATTCCTGGTGGGATCCTACTGAGGCCAAATGACTATTTGCCAAATTTTCTCTTTTTTTTTTTTAATGCAGGAACACCTCTTTATACAGTCTTGGCTCATCCAATATTCCCATTTAACTCTACCTTTTAAATTTGCTTTAGTAAATATTGAATAGACATAAAATCCTAATGACAATACATGTAAAGTTTAAAGAAATACCAAATAATGATCTCCAATGTACTGACCCCCCAGTTTAAGAAACATGATGCAGGGGTGCATGGATGGTTCAGTCGGTTAAGCCTCCAACTTGTGATTTTGGCAAAGGTCATGGTCTCACTTTCATGAGATTGAGCTCTGCCTCAGGCTTTACGCCTGAGAGATTCTCTCTCTCCCTCTGTCCTTCCCCCACTTGGGTCTCTTGCTCTCTTTCTCTCTCTCTCTCAAATAAAAAAAAAAAAAAGAAACAGGATTCAATGTCATTCTCTCTCTCTTTTTTCTCATTAGATATTAATATTTTATTTATTATTTTTATTTTTTGAAGTTTTTATTTAAGTTCCAGTTAGTTAACACAGTGTTATATTAGTTTCAGGTATACGCTATAGTGATTCAACACTTCCGTACATCACCCAGTTTCATCACGACAAGTGCCCTCCTTCATCCCCATCACCTGTTTCACCCATCCCCCGCCTGGTAACCATCAGTTTGTTCTCTCTAGTGGAGACAATTTCTTAATTTGCTTCTCTCTCTCTCTCTTTCCCCCCTTTGCTTGTTTGTTTTGTCTCTTAAATTCCACATAGGAGTGAAATCATATGGTATTTGTCTTTCTTTGACTGATTTTACTTAGCATAATACTCTCTAGCTCCATCCATATCATTGCAAATGGCAAGATTTCATTCTTTTTATGACTGGGTAATATTCCATTATATACATTACATATATGTAATGTATATATACAAAGATATATGTACTTTAATATTTTATTTATTTTTGATGGACAGAGAGACACAGAGCACAAGTGGGGGAGGAGCAGAGAGAGAAGGAGACATAGAATCTGAAGCAGGCTCCAGGCTCTGAGCTGTCAGCACAGAGCCCGACGCGGGGCTCGAACTCACAAACTGGGAGATCATGACCTGAGGCAAAGTCGGACGCTTAACCGACTGAGCCACCCAGGCATCCCTATATACATATATATTGTATATATACATATATTACTTATGTATATGTATACATACCTATGTATATGTATATTACATATTGTATATATACAATATATGTATATATACATAATATATGTAAACACACACACACACACACAGACACCACCTCTTCGTTATCCCTTCATCAAAGCAGGAAAGAATATCCAATGGGAAAAAGACAGTCTCTTCAACAAATGGTTTTGGGATGAGTGGTCAGCTACATGGCAAAGAATGAAAGTAGACTGCTTTCTTACACCATACACAAAAATAAATTCAAAATGGAATGAAGACTTCAATGTGAGACCTGAAACCATAAAAATTCTGGAAGAGAACACAGGCAGTAACCTCTTAGACATTGGCCACAGCAGCTTCTTTCTAGATATGTCTCCTCAGGCAAGGGAAAAAAAAAAACAAAAAACAAATGATTGGGACTACATCATAAAAAGCTTCTGCACAGCGAAGGAAACAATCAACAAAAATGGCATTCTCTCTGAAAGTAATTCTGCCTGACTGGTTAGAATGGGCCCATCTCACCTTTGAGGTCGGAGAAAGCATGTTAGAGCCTCAGCTCTAATACTGCCTGAGTGATTTTAGGCTACTGCACCTCTCTGAAACTTAACATAACCTCACAGTTTTGTTATTTTTAAAAAAATTTTAAACGTTATTTTATTTTATTTTTTTAATGTTTATTTATTTTTGAGAGACAGAGACAGAGTGCGAGAGGGGGAGGGGCAGAGAGAGAGAGACACACACACACAGACACACACACACATAGAATCCGAAGCAGGTTCCAGGCTCTGAGCTGTCAGCACAGAGCCCGATGCAGGGCTCAAACTCACACACTGCGAGATCATGACCTGAGCTGAAGTCAGATGCTTCACCGAACTGAGCCACCAAGGTGCCCCAATGTTTATTCTATTTTTGAGAGAGAGAGAGAGAGACAGAGACAGAGCATGAGCATGAGCATGAGCATGAGCATGAGCATGAGCAAGGGAGGGGCAGAGAGAGAGGGAGACACAGAATCTGAAGCAGGCTCCAGACTCCGAGCTGTCAGCACAGAGCCCGACGAGGGGCTCAAACTCAGGAGCCACAAGATCATTACCTGAAACGAAGTCATCACGTAACTGAGCCACCTAGGTGCCCTTCACCTCATAGGTTTGAATTAGATGACAACATGTTTAGCGCTCCGTAGATAGAAATGTACTTTTTTTTTAATTTTATCTGAGGGCTCTCAGTGAAGGTCTAGCACACTGCCCCTCCTCTCAACCTTTTCAAGCCCATTTTGCTCTGATGTAGGATGTTCACTGGGAGTCGAATCAGAGACCTTAAATTCATTTTGATTGAATCCTACAGGATTGGCCTTAGAGCAGACCAGTGGGGACTTAGGGGTCCTGATATGGGAAACAAGGATACACAGAGAGGGACGCCTGGGTGGCTCAGTCAGTTAGGTGTCCGACTATGGCTCAGGTCATGATCTCGTGGTTCATAGGTTCAAGCACCCCGTGGGTGTCTGTGCTGACATCTTGGAGCCTGGACCCTGTTTCACATTCTGTGTCTTCCTCTCTCTCTCTCTCCGCCCCTCCCCGCCTCACGTTCTGTCTCTTTCCCTCTCAAAAACAAATAACCATTTTAAAAAAAGTAAAGAAGGATACACAGAAGGCCACGTTATTTGAGGATTCGTTATCCATACCCTGAAGTTACAAGGTTACATAGGGAACTGAAGGTTTCATAACAGAAAATGATCCATCTGTAACCTGATTGGTTAAACACTGATCCCCCCCCCTTTTTTTTTTTTCAACGTTTTTATTTATTTTTGGGACAGAGAGAGACAGATCATGAACGGGGGAGGGGCAGAGAGAGAGGGAGACACAGAATCGGAAACAGGCTCCAGGCTCCGAGCCATCAGCCCAGAGCCTGACGCGGGGCTCGAACTCACGGACCGCGAGATCGTGACCTGGCTGAAGCCGGACACTTAACCGACTGCGCCACCCAGGCGCCCCAACACTGATCCCCTTTAAAGACCCCTCCTATCTTAACACTAAATCATCTTCATTGTGGGTCAGTCTTTGCTGGAGTGTCTCCATTGTAAAACTTATTATGCTAGATGTTTACTATTTGTTTAAAGGTTTTCTTTCACACTAGACAGAGCTCCTCAAATGTGGACATCTTTCTTGCTTTTCCTGTTATCTCCCTGTACTCAGCACTGACTCACTCTTAATAATAAATGTTTCATGAAAGTTGGAGAGGCAGGATTCAGCCCACCCAGGCTTTCTTCACATAACTTTGATCTAAAAA